ACAATCCACATCACAATTGCTTAAACCACACAGAATTGTGGTCCAGCCAAGTTGACAAACAGCTCCATCACACCAAGTTTTGTGGAAAACATGGTGCTGTTTCTCTTGCACCAGTAGAACTTGGCCTGTGTTCTAAATTCTGTCTCTATGGAAACAAAACAGAGTTGATCCACTATAACTAAACTAATCCACCAGCCAGCCTCAAATGAGTCTGGATAGCTCCAGATCCTCTGGGAGGTAAATTTGCTAAATAATGTAATTCTTGTTATGTTTTTCTTTTTAAGATAAGTGAAGATTTGGTGAGAACATTGCCTCTGAAAAGGATGGCTGGAGACATAAAGAGAAGGAATGGAAGTTAAGCAAACATTTAGGCTAATTTGTTTAAAAAGTAGTAATTAACTAAAACTTTGTAACTTAGAAGGACTTCTAAACATAGGTTATTTTAAACTGGATGATCTGATAGTAGGAATTAGATAAAATGTCATAAAATTATACTTGAAGTAACATAAAAATATCTTGAAAAGATAGAGGAAATGAACATTATGAAAGCAGGCTGGCTCCTAAATTTTGTAAAGTTGGGATAAGAGTACAAAGTGAGTAAGATTCTATGAAGTGCATCCCAGCTCCTTTCCCCGAAATCGGGTACTATGAGAAGCCTCACTCACCCCAGTCTCCGTGTCCAAATTCTATCCACTCATCTCATCCCATTGCTCTAGTTTTGTATACTCTGGCATTGAGAATGGCCACAGAGAAGGCTGGTGCAGCCCTCGAAGGACTGTTTGAGCAGGAAATTTAATATTCCTAGGAACCAGGAGTGGTTCTATGGGTGGAAGGAGTGATTTTAGATGACATGAACCCTTGGCCCCATCACATCCCTCCAGTTGGAAAAGACACAGATGGTAGACAATGGAGGGGGCTCTAGAATGAGGAGACCAGGGTAGACAGCCCAGTTTTCTGGTTTGGAGGGTGGTACTGTGTGGGGGCCCATGAGAACTACCTTTACATGAGAGACTTTTATAGCCAGGTTTAAGGGGGTCACCATGAGTCTGTATTGACTTGATGGCAATGGGTTTGGTTTGGTTTAGGTGGAGAAGAATGGAAATCGGGACCCTTGACACAGCCAGGGCTAATATTTTGAAGTTATCTGAGGAAATCTTTATCTAGAGACAAGCAAAATCTTTTTTAACCTTGTACTAGTTGGGCAATCTACTTCTGTAGTGATACCGCCTCGGAAACCCAAGGAGGGGTTGCTATGAGTTGGATCTGACTCGATGGCAGTGCGGGTTTTTTTTTTTTTTTTTTTGAGTCTAAAGTGAGCAGTGAAATGGAGTGAACAATATCTTAGGATAACTGTCTCAGTGGAAATGTGTCAGAAACCAGATGACAATCTGCCATGTGGTTTACATAAAGGCTTTCTGTACTAGTGAGACATGAAGTAGACAAGAGTTGTTTAAATTAAACTCCATTGTGGCCCAAGTGATTCAGTGGAGCAACATTTGAAAGACATGGGTGGGATGGGATAGGCAGTGCTGGTAAAGAAGGAAGGTTGAGATACAGCTGTGTTGCATTTCTGTGTGTGCTTTTGTTAGAGGAGCTCTCTGCTTTCAAAAGTCTTAAAGAGTTAAACCAAACCAAACCAAGGCCACTGCCATCAAGTCAATTCTGACTCCTAGCAACCATATAGTACAGAACCCCATAGGGCTCCCAAGGCTGTACATCTTTATGTGAGAAGACTATCTCATCTTTCTCCCATGGAGCGGATGGTGGGCTGCAACCACTGATCTTTCAGTTAGCAGCTGAGTGGTTTAACCACTATGCCACCAGAGCCCCTTTAAAGACCATTAGATAAGGTACTATCTGAAATTATTTCAAACTCTAAAATTCTATGAGTTTAAGAAATTGGAAGATTCCACTGCTTACAAACATCAAACGTAAGTCACAGTAAATTATTTATTACTTAAATGTTGAACAATTTTTTATCAAAGCATGAAATGAAAATGCCATTCTGAAATGATCAAAATGTATAGACTAAGATTTCAAGATACATTTCTTTTTTCAACTTTAGTGCATTATGTTTACTCCTTAGCTCAGTTTTGCTTCTGTTCATGATTTAAAAATGTAAACAGTATTGAGGGCATAGGTAGAACACATAAGATGGAGAACACGTCCAGTACATTGGTGACCTGGGTAGATTCCTTCTTGAGTCATGTTCCTCCTGAGCCACCTCTTTCTCTAGGGCCACTAGGGAGGGTTGGTTCGTGTTTCACTTTCTCAGGTTTTCTTTTCTCTCAAAATATCCTTACCTTGACCTAATTATTGAAAGATACTTTTACTGGATATGCACTTCTAGAGTGAGAAGTATGCTTCATGTAGTACTTTGAAGATGTGGTCAACTATTTTTTGTCTCCATAGATATAATCAGAAAGTCATTTTATCTCTACTGCAGTTTCACCTTGATACATTTCGGAACAGATATTTTTTTCTGTATCGTATTTGGAATTTCATTACAGTCTTGAAGCTGTATGGTGATTGATATGTTTTACATATTGTGGAAAGTTGTCAGACATACCTTTGAATATTGTTCTCTTGAATATAATTTCCTAAGAATCCTACACCTTCTCACTTCATTCTAATTGTCTTTAACTTACCTTGAAAATTGTCATCTTTTGTTCTCTCTAGTACTCTCTATGCTGATTTTTCAGATCTCTATTATAGTACACTAATCAATCTCTTCAGTTGCATTTATTCTGTTTGATTTGTCCCTTCATGTTTTTAATTTCACTATTTATATTTTTAATTTTGAGAAATTGTTTGATTATGTTTCCAATGCACCTGGTCCTATTTTTAAATACTCTTCTGTAATACTTGCAAAATACTCTTACTTTTTGGAGCACACGAAGCATATTCATTTTATTTTCTAATTCTGATAATTCTACTGTCTGGAATCTCTTAGCTACCAGGTCCACTCTCTACTATTTCTATGGACTCTTGCTACGATGACTTATTTCTTGTTTGTTTGGGGGTTTTTATTGTGAGTTCATTTTTCAGAGGAAATTTGTCTGTGAGACCTAGGCTTAAGTTGCATTCCTCCAGGAAGAATTTGTATTTGCCTCTTTCAGATGCTTGAGGTCACCACCAACCTCAAAATAAATGATCATGTTGAGGTTTTCAGGAAAACAAGATTGTGTGAACTCAGCCTGCAGACTGATGTATCTAATGCTTGAAATCACAGAATATTTTAGGTAGAATTTCCTTCTGACCCTCATATGGGTGGTTTTTTTTTTTTTTTTTTTTCCTAATTTACATTTTCAATGATGATGTAGGCATTTTGGGTCACACATTTGGGGTTTTTTATCACAGTTACAACCTTGGACAGAGAGCATTCTTTGTCTCCTACCTAGTGCATCTATCTGTTCTGACTGTCCGAATCCAAGCTCAAGGTCACCAGATTGGGCATCTGATGGTATCTGTGCTCACTTCTCTCTCGGTCTTCCTATTTACCTTTAATTATTTTACCTCTGAGGATTTCATTTATTTCCTGGTCAAGATAGCAATGTTTGTTTTTTAAATATCTGTATTTTTACTAGTATATCATACAAACCCACTGCTGGTGAGTTGATTCGGCCTCATAGCAGACCCTATAAGACAGAGTAGAACTACCCTACTGGGTTTCCAAGGCTGTAAGTTTTTATGACGCAGACTGCCACATCTTTCTCCCACAGGCTGGCTGGTAGTTTTAAACTGCCAACCTTTTAACTAGCAAACATGCACTTTAACCACTGTGTCACCAGGGCTCATTTTTACTGTTATAGCTAGCATTATTTTGTTATTCCAACTTGGAGAATTGTTCAGGGTATCTAGTTCACAATATTGCCAGAAATTAATGCTTACTTTCTGGTTTTATAATAGGTATATATACACATATATATATATAGGAGCTCTGGTAGCATAGTGCCTAAGGCACTTGACTGCTAACTAGAAGTCTAGTGGTTCAAACCCACAAGCCACTCCTCGGAAGGAAGGTTGGGCAATCTACTTCCGTAGTGACACTGCCTCAGAAACCCAAGGAGGGGTCGCTATGAGTCAGGTCTGACTCGACGGCACATAACAACAACACGTATATATATATATATAAAACTATATAATTTTTTTTTCATTTAACAAAATATATTCAGCCGTCTTCTCATATTAGTGTATATAGATTTTCCTCATATTTTTTGAATGGCTTTAAATGTCAATGGTTCAAATCCACCAGTTGCTCCATGGGAGAAAGATGTGGCAGTCTGCTTCTGTAAAGATTTACAGTCTTGGAAACCTATGGGTCAGTTCTGCCTAGTCCTATAAAGTCACTATGAGCTAGAACCTACTGGATGGCACTGCGTTTGGTAAATATATATGTGTGTGTGTGTGTGTGTGTATATGTATGTATATGTATATATGTATATGTGTGTATGTGTGTGTGTATGTATATGTGTGTGTGTGTGTATATATATATATATATATACACACATATATATATATATATATACACATATATAAACCACATACTACGGATAAATCATCATTTATTTAACAAGTCACCTACTGATGGATATTTATGTTGTTTTCAGTTTTTTGTTATTACAAAAACCAATCAACATATAAGTACTAAATAAATATCTAGATTAAGTCTCCAGAATTAGAATTTCTAGGTCCAAAAATATGGTTCTTAAATTTAATTTTTATTTCCAATTTGCCTTCCACAGTTGGCAACAACTAATACGAGCCAGAAAGAGAATATGAGCTTGTCTTGTCTATGTTGGGTTTTATTGAGCACATTATTATTAATTTGAGAGAATAATTTTCTGCTTATTTTTTATTCTAGTATTTGTTCTATGGATATACAGCACATTACAAAAATATTCTTGGACTCTTTTTAATAAATACTTTTCATGTGAGATGAGGAATTGATTTGAACCAATTTTTCTAATATGACTATGACATATAATCTGTTCGGGGAAATGCCATTAGATCGTTCATCTGACTGTGAATGTTCCAGCTGTTCAGAGGATATTCAGAAAGAGTGTAATTGGAATCCCTGTTGCAACAAGTATAGTGATGACTCTTTATATTCAAGATCAAGAAAGAAATCCTCACCTTCCTGTGTGCAATACTTTCCATCTCAGTGTTGTCCCACTAGACCAGACAGTGATACCAAGGAAGAAGATGCAGTGTTTCTGCCCTCAGAGGAGGAAAGATCTTTGGAGTCTTCTCAAAATAATAATGTCAGATTAATCTCTGAAGGCACTGCACGGAAAATAAGACCATTGAGAGAGCTGACTATCCAAGAGTTATTGAGTGAGTTTGGGGATAATACGAAGTTACACCCAAACGTCACTTCCCTGGGCCACTTTAAAGATCAGGTAGCTATGAAGTTCAGAAGAGCTCTGTATTATTCTGGAATTTGGGTGTCGTATATTCAAGGCAACAGAATTGAAAAGCACCTTTCAGCTAATTATTTCAAGAGAAATCCAGGTTGCTTACACAGATTGATTCCCTGGTTGAAACGTGAACTAACTGCTGTTTACGGAGATTATGGCCACACGGTGAAGACCATCCTAGCCACTATCCTCCAACACATGACAGAATATGATTTGGACAATGAGTCCTTTACCAACCTCCTGGAACCTTATCTCCTACAGCACACCCACCATTTTCTTCATGAGTTTATCAGTTTTGTTCATTCACCTTACAACATGGAGAACTATGACCAACGGGCCATCTATCAGTGTTCTGCTCCTTCACCAAGGATGAAAAAGAAATCCATTGGATTTGCTCCTTTTTTACCTTTGCCTGTGGATAAGACTCTCCTGATATCTCACCCTGATACAAGGCAGGCTGAAAACACCCAGTGGCAGTGGACAAACGAGGAGAAGCCCCTGTCAGACTTAAAACCATTTCCAAATGCTAAGTCTTCCTTGAAGAAATCGGACACCTCACGAGTCCATCATAAAACAGCAAGGAAAACCCATGTTTGGATGAAAAACAAACCAGAACCAGGTGATCACAAAGGCACATGTCCTACTAATTCTATTCTGAATTGGACAGAACAAGGGGAAAGAGGGACAGGCTTAGTGGACTGTAAAACACATGTTCAACAAAGGAAGACAGAAAGGGTAAAGTTGTTCCCTGGTCAGGTCCAGGATCTTGGAAAGAGTGAAACAATGACACGTACACTGAGTACCCCCACAACTTTTAATCAGGGACAAACACGGAAATGCGGTCTAAGTGAAAGAAGGGTTTTGAGTCTTGGCCAGCAGGAGAATTTCCAGAAAAAAGAAGTAGAAAAAAACAAATACCCAGATTCTTCCCCAAAGTATTTGCAAAGAAGATTGCCCAGAGAAAGATCTTTGAGTACTTGCAAAGCCAGAAAGAGGGACCCTTCTTGGGGTTGCACTTCAGAAACTGCCCTTTCTCCTAAGAGAGAGAGTAGTAGAAAGCTATGTGCTTTCAGGAAGAAGAAGACAAAATTCAAACAGTCCTCTCAATTTGCAGAAGTTGGTTCACACTCCAGCAGAACTATCAAGAGAAGATCAAGGTCCCGTAGTCAGAGATCCAAATCCTGGTGCATCGGACAAAGAAGGAGATCTCTAAGCAGAGAATCTAGTAATTTCTCTTTGAAAGGAAGTTACAGAGGTAAATACTTCACCCAGAATATAAGCTGTGAGCCCTCAAAAGAAAAAAATGCTAATGGTTATGAATTAAACCATGGGCAGGCATCTTCAATTACGGTCCAAAGTGTGAAGCTTTCTGCAACTCCAAGGGAGAAACCCAAGTATCCTACAGATGAGGACACTTCTGATGCTGGGAGCTGTGACAGTCCCATGTTCCTAGAGATTGAGAGACACAGGTCCCCAAGGAAACAGAAGATGAGGCACAGACCCACATTTCCTAGAGCCAGAAAAAGCAGAGCACTTGGGCACAGAAAAAACGAATGCTGTTTTCCAGATAAACAAATCATAGAGGAATTCAGGAGTGACGTGTGGGATCAGGATGACATCAGGAGTGATGTGTGGGATCAGGATGACATCAGGCAAATGAGTAGTCCTTTGTATGCATCTTCCTACAGGAGGCAAATCCAAAAGAAACAGAATGTGAACCTTCAGAGATGTTACTGGGCCATGAATGAACGTTAAGGAGACACAGCATCAGAAACACAGAGGGGCCAATTGTTTTGAAAAGCAATTTATTCTGCTCAACTAGCCACCACAGATCCATGAATCTGAGAAAAATTACTAAAAAGACTCATCATACCACTTGGTAATCAGAACGAAGAGCTTGTAAATTAAATTGAAGGCTTCTTTTGGAGAGAAATCCATAGTATTAAGCTGGTCATTTATGTAAACATTATTTCAGCTTGTTAGGGTTTTTTTTTTTTTTTTGTATAGAACTGATTTCTCAAAATATTTTTACTTACTTTTCAGTGTTTAGGCATAACTATGTAGATTGGCTGCTCAAAGTTCCAAACACCGTAAAGACTATACTAACAATAGAAGTGTATGATGCTTAACACAGTTACATAGGTTAAGTATGTTTTCCAACACGTGTTATTTAAATATATGTATGAAGAGAGAGAGAGGTTTCAGACCTAACAATCAGTCTATGGAAAACAAGACATGGTCACTGTCTTAAGATACAAACATTGCCTTCAAGGATTTCACAATCTTGTCATAAAAAGACACACAACTAATTAGGACAAAATGAGCATTTATGGGATTTTTGGCCCAGAAAGATTTCCTATCTCCCTCCACTGAAAACTGCACCTCCATAAGCCCAAGCAAATACATATTTTCATTAGAAGTTGTTATGTTTTTAGATAACTCTGTTTCCCTACTCACAGTAGCTTGGTTCTGTGATAGTGAGTACACCTAAACCAAGCTAATCATAGTATTTTGCCCTGTGACTACAACTGATGAGTCCAGTGATGGCCCAGTCAGAGCCCTTCCTTGGCATATTTTCAAACTGGATCTGAGAAAAAAGGCCTTTCTCTCTCCCTAGTGAGAAATGGGGAAAGATTTAAAGCTTGGGTACTATGAAAAGCTAGATTGTTCAATTTGTGAAGAAAGCCATTTTGAAGTAAGAGAGGAAAAAGCTGACAAAGAAAAGCAGAAATAAGTTGTGAGGAGAGGGTCTTGGAAGTGCTTCAGGACATGTATCTTCTACAACTTGAGCTGGCTTCCTGCCCTTCATGTGGTTTTATTTTTTAACTCTTTATATTTTGTGAGAAAATACATTTCGTCTAAATTTCTCTTATTCAGTGTAGATTTCCAATCACTGACAATCAAGCACTTCACTGGGAACTGGAACAATGGATGTCCATGAGAGAACAGACAGGAACACAAATGCCTTGGGGGGTTAATGAAGGCTCCTTGAAGAAAGAATATCTGGGTATAGTCTTGAAGGCTGGGTAGGAGTTTGTCAGGTGAATGTGTTGATAAAGGCTGCCAGGAAGAAAAGGAGCTATTTGAAGAAAAGGAAGAAAAAATTTTCCAGCCTCCCTGTCAACATGGCTAAGACATCCTGAGAGAGAGGTTCAGAAGCTGATGCCAGGTTGCAAACATGAGTGAAACTTGGATGTTCTAGGTCCTCAGCAACCATGAAGCACCTACAGGTAACACAGCACTCAACATTCACATTTATTATTATTTTTAAACAATGGTTTATTTTTCAATAACATTTTTTAAAAAGTAAGGCACATTTCTGCAGAAAACATTGAGAAACAATGTAGCAAGATATGAATTTGATTCATTTTATTAATTTTAAACAGACAGTTTTAGTCAGCCCATTTTGTTGCTTTCCTTGGTACAAAAATTAGGACTATTGGGCACATCCAATCTCAACTTTCCAATTCACTCGAGAGAAGCTTACTAGTGACATCCAATCATAGTCTTATTTCATTTGCAATAAACCTTTTTTTCTTAACATTTTCTCATAGGACCACTAAAAAAAAAATTTCTACGTAGAGAGGGAATTTTCACAGTAAATTTACAAATATTCCTCATACTTCTTCTTTGTCACACCATGTAAAATCGATCTTCTGAAAAGAGACACAAAGATCTTTGTGACCCATCAAAAGAGGAGACCATATACCACTTACTTCTTAGTAGAAAGGAAACATCATTAGAACTTGAGTTTTAGGGGACCATCAGGTAACTGGAAGCATTCCTCTTAAAGCATGTGCTGATTTAATATGAGTTCACTGTATTGGAAGGGACTCTTGGCTGCATCAAAATCTAAAATGATGACTACAGATTGCAACCAGGAGACAATTTTCATGGTAAAGATACATGGGGTTTATGCAAAGTCCCAAATTAGGGATTAGAAAACAACTGTAGCAGTTCAGTGTGAGATAGACACAATTTAGCAGCAGTCTACATTAAAAAAGACAGCAAAACTGTGATTATGACCACAAGTGTACTATGAGCCACCAGGTAATCGTCCTGGCACTACAGCTACCCTAATATGGGACTGTATTCAAAGAGAATTTCTCTGGGTGGGGAAAACCAAAATGGACATCGAAATGTCTTCAAATACAGAGTGGTGGTTCTCTAGAAACAGGTATTTCCCTGGATAATTTGGAGGAAAAATCTAGCTTCATTCAGGGAAAAAATATCCAGGGAGGTGATTTCTTTAATCAAAGAGAGCCTGTCTTATCAGAATGGGCATGTATTAGAGCAGGAGGTCAGTGGAGGGAAGGAATTCCCATCCTTGGAAGTTTGCATGAAGGGCTGGATCCCAACAATGTAGGGAATTTGACTGGATGGTGTCTAAGTAGGCACCTTACTCAAAGATTGCAAGATTCATTATAGAGTCAAATTGCTAATGAACCAAAAATATCGTACCTTTAAATAGTGAAACAAATTCTTTTGGATGGCAAAAAAAAAGTTAATAATAAATATTAGTAACTATACTATATATTGAAAGTTTAGTATTTGTACACATACACACACATACTCTTAGAACACATTATATATATGTGTACATATGTGTATGTATATGTGTATGTGTGGATACATACACAACACACTCTATGAGTTATGACTTTAATCCACATTTTATATAGGAGGAAGCTGAGGCTTAATGGTATGGAATTATTTGCCCAAGGTCACAAAACTAGTAAGTGGTACAGTCTGGATTCAAAGCCAGGTGGCCTGTACCCAGAGTCAATGGCCTTAAGCCCCAACTTTACACTGCTTAGTGCTTCTGCCCTTTGTCTTTTACCAGTCCTTCACTGCCTTTTTGATCCTGTGGTGAGCACATTCACAAACACTGTGTCATCTCACCTTTGCAACAAATGAGTAAGGTTGGTTTGATTATACCCATTTATCAATGAGGAAAATGGTCAGAACAAGGAGCACAGCTGAGAACCAGACTGTGCATGTTACTGTCCATGCTCTGTGTTTCTATAGCCTATCCTGCTTGACTGAGATTTTCAAATCTAACTCCGATTCACTTACCCCCTTAACCATTTAGTCTTCCCTGCTATTGAGGGCATTTTCTACTCAAAATCTCATATACTAATGTGACCACACAGGATGAGGTGGTAAGGGGTTACTTCCATTTGTTTAGAAGGATAAAAGCCAATTCCTCTTTGCAAGGTGAACCTGAGTTGTCCTTTTAATGCATCATCTCGGCCAGCTGGGGAGAAGGTGGGTGACTGCTTTTTCATACATACATTTTGATTCACAGAGTGTCACTTATAGCCAGTGGGTCAGCTGAAACTCAGAGGCCTAGGACCAGTTTTTGGCTGTCCTTGACTCTCTGGTGCCCTCTGGACAAAGAGTCATGGGGTACATTTTGTGTTATCTAATGAGAGGCAGATAAGAAATTAGGTGTCTGTAGATAACTTGAAAATTATCCTCAGCTGTGATTATCAAAAAGGGTTATTAATACATACATATTTCTATCATGATTATTTTTAGCTAATGGGTGTTTATCAATCCCCACAGCTACTGTTTACAAAGGGGCTTTCATCAGTGCTGACAGGAACCAATATGCATCCGCCTAGCTCTCTCTCCAGATCATCATCCACACCACTACTGTCATTCTAAGATACAAATTTATCCATGTAATTTCCTATCTAAAATTCTACATTGGTTGCCTATTGCATAAAGGATAAAATTAGTCTTGTTTATGAAGATTCTCTGGCTCCAATCCATTCTTCTATCTTTTTGTCCTAAAAGACAAAAACCACAAATATAGACAGACATGCATATCATGCACAAGAATACCTGTACACGTACTCCTTTATCGGCGTACATTATCTCTTGCCAATCAAGCTGATTAAAATTTGCATGTCTCAGACAAATACATTGTCTTCGTAGCACTTATTAAAGTATCTTCAATAAACATACCTCGTCTAGTTGGTCTTGACTCTTGAACTGTATGACCTGGATAAGTCACATACATTCTCTTCAATTCTGTTTTCACCTTGTTGTTGTTGTTGTTGTTATGTGCCGTCGAGTCAGCCCTGACTCATAGCGACCCCTCCTTGGGTTTCCGAGGCAGTATCACTACGGAAGTAGGATTGCCCAACCTTCCTTCCGAGGAGTGGCTGGTGGGTTTGAACCGCCAGCCTTCTGGTTAGCAGTCAAGTGCCTTAGCCACTATGCTACCAGAGCTTGACTGAAATGATTTCATTCACCTTTTGAACCACTGATCTGATGTTCTGTGAACAGTGCCATGGGCTTGCACCCGAACCTTCCTCAAACCTCTTTCCCATGTCAGTGGATTTGCCTGAACTCATCTTTCTTGTTCATCCAACCTTTCTTATCACATTATTGGGTCTATATTGGATTTTAAGGATCCCTGGTAGTGCAGTGGTTAAAAGTGCTCTGCAGCGAAAAGAAAGGTCAGTAGTTTGAACTCACCAGTGGCTATGGGGGAGAAAGATGTGGCAGTCTGCTTCCTTAAAGATTTACAGCCTTGGAAGCCCAGTTCTACTCTGTCCTGTAGGGATGCTATGAGTTGGAATGGACTCGATGGCAATGGGAATTTTTGTTGTTGTTGGGTGTCAGAGAGTTGGTTCCCATGCATAGTCACTGATGTACAACAGAATGGAGCACGGCTAGTCCTGAACCATCCTCACCGTCGTTGCTATGAACCCACTGATGCAGCCGCTGTGTCAATCCCTCTT